TTAACGAATTTTGTTGAGTTATCGAATTTTAGTGTTCTTGAAATTCATCGAACTATCGATATGTATCAAATCATTGAAATTTAGCGATAAACTTGAATGTATCGGGTCAATTCCAAGTCCTGCCGAAGTCCTCCAAAGACCTTCTCAGATAAAAAAAAATTGTGTTACGTTTTAGCAAAAGATTTTCCGGTTAGTTAATTTGTACCTTATAAGTTTTGCTACGTGTTAAGTTAGAAAACCTCTCCAAGGTTCTAAAAGTAGAAAAACTGTCGAATTTCGACAGTAACTGGCACTCTAGTATCGATTATTTTATCAAAGCAATATCGATTATTATATCGACAAAAATATCAAGTTTTATATCGATAACAATATCGATCTTCATCCTCATCCTTTTCTTCATATTTATCTTTATTTTTGCATATTCCTCTTCACTTTTACCTTAGTGTTTACATTTACTTTGATCTTCGTTTTTGCCTGTACCTCTAGGCATCTTTGTTTTTGTTTTTATTCCCAAACCGCTAAACCGCTAAGAACCATTTCCATGTGCATTATTCCCCTAGAATTTGAAAATTTACTCCCAACCAACCAACTGCCGCTAAAGAAGTTTCACTTCATAAATTCAAGAAATGTTTTTACCCTTTCAGTTACCCTAATTCTTATGTATCTGTCATTGTCTCCATTTTCGTCTTTATCTTCACTTTTGCCTTCATCGTTATCATTTATTTCTTCATCTTCATACTCATCTTTATTTCAAAGCTTAATTTCAAATGCGAAGTGAAACAACATGCGAAACATGTCAAATTGAACATGTTGCAGCAACATCTATACACAAATACGAAATGTTTAAACGACGGTTTTGGCCGTAATTTTCAACCAATTGTGAAACCATAAAAACTCTGCTCATCTACGGAAAAATGCCTTTCCAATGGTGTTCTTGGTTTTGAAACCGATTCGGTAGAATCGCCAAACGAACGGAGACAAAATTTATGTTAGCGTATTAATATATAGATAATAGATTGGCGCTTACACATATGTTAATGTTGGCCGAGCTTCTCCTCCGATTTGCGGCGTGCGCTTTGCGCCTTTATGTTGTCACACGAAGGGGAGGGACCCACAGTTTTAAGCCGACACCGAACGGCGATTGTATTTTTTTATGAAAAGCTGTTTTTCATGGCATAAATACACTCAGAGGTTTGCCATTGCCTGCCGAGGGGCGACCGCTGTTAAGAAAAAACCTTTTTTTCTATATTTTTTGATATGTTGCTTTGACCAGGGTTTGAACACAGTCCCTGCGGAATGGTAGCTAACCATACATAAGTATAAATATATACAAAAATTGGTTTTAGCTTTAAAATTTTTCACAAAAATATATTAAAAATCAATCCAATCAAAAAACTGTTGGATGTAATTAAAAAAGGGCTCAAGAACTCACTCTTTAAATTTTATTTTTTACAAAAAAAGAGGAAGTTTAATGTAAAACTTACTTTTTTACGGCACACACTCCATCTGCTATGAGCGGCCCCTTATTCCAGTACGATCCAAAGATGGTGATTGCATGCTGTTGGAACTGAATATTCAGTATTAGCATGTATATATTTAAGATATTATGTACACATGTATGTAGGTCTAAATAGTAACATACCATTAGAAATGCAAACAGCATAAAAATGCATTTGTTAGTCAAGTTTGTTGTCATGTCCTCATAAATTTGCAGGTATCCAGCATGCCAGTAAGCTGAAAGAAATTTTATTAAATAAATTGTTTATGTGAAAATCTGCTCGACCGTTTACTGGACGTACGCCCCAATTAAAAAATTAAACTCTTAGGGCCGGTTACTCAATTTCTGGTTAATCGTTAATACTAACTATAGGAATATCGACGTTTCGATTGCCTTTTATGTGTTGTGGAGTCGATTACGTCGATAACGATGTTTAATCTGTAGTTGCTGTTAACTAGACATTGAGTAATCGGCCCCTAGTCATGTTTTTGCCTGGAAGAGAAACAAAGGGTAACTTAAAAATATAATAAATAAATACATTTTGGGACAACACTTTCACCAACTATTCACTTAATGACTTCCAGTGGCGGATTTATCAGATTATGGTTTTGTGGTCGTCAGAAGGCGTTCTATCCGTGACGAAGTTCTTGCGATTTTCCAATGATCTGGAGTTTCATAGCACAGTTAATCGCACAACACTGGTAAATTTCGGTGTCAGAGTTGCCAATGAAATAAATTAGTTTCAGTTGTTAAAGTGCTTGTTCCTCTTGAGGTCGTGCTGCATGAATTCGCAAAGCATGCACTCAAAGCTATTCATTAACTTGTGCGCGTTGCTGAGGGTTTTGATTTGCACTGCTAATCGCCAAACTTTTTTAATTTCGGTTGCGTGAGGCATTGTTTCGTATTGTGATAGGCGAATGGGTTACGAACACTGAAAGTACAATGTCGAAAAATTCAAACTATCTTCAAAGCAATCGAACCATATTCACAAAAGAAATGTACGCGCCATATATTCTCATTCATCCTTATCGTGAGTTTCGCTCGTAGTGAATACACGGAAACGAAAACTGAACCCGTTCGAATGAAACTCCTCATAAAGCTGTTTTTGTATTTTTTATCAAAATTCCATCATACATTTTTCAAATCCGGCAACTGTAAATGTAGCCGGTAAAAGGGCTGCGACTAGAGTGCAATGGGGTTAGTCGTTGTGCTGGGTCTGCAGCAGTGTTTCCAGTAACTGGGTTAATAGAATCCCGTCTAAATACAACCTTAATCCCGTTTTATACTAAAGTTATTACAGAAATCCCGCGCTGTATGTATCTATTATACATAAAATGCTTTCGGATGAAAAACACTAGTATGTACATGGATATGCAATATTACATAGGATTTATATACATTAGGGCGGGCCAGTTCTTTTGACTATGCGCGCATAGCATAAGAGGATTCTACTTGTAATTCTAAGCAACTTTGCCGAGGAAAAGATGCGACAAAAAGCAATTAGGAGTTTGTCATACTCCGAAAATACATAGGTTTAGAAGAAAATGTGGAAATTTTTACTGTTGTGCCCTCTGGTGGAAGTTTTAAGAAAAAGAGAAGTGCAGAAATCGGTTCCTCATACCAAGAAAACCCTACAGCATGTTTTGTACAAAATTTAAGCAATTCTTTAGGACACTACAGTAAAGTGTTAAGAAACCTATTTCCGCAATTTGGAAAATTCCAAATTAATTTTAGAGTCATGGTTTCTTCGGCAACGTTGATTAGAATTACACGTATGTATATGCAATATGCGCATAGTCGAAAAAATCTCCCATACAAATTGACCTGCCTTAATATAGCTACATCTTTTATTTTTTAATTTTTACATTTCCAAGGACAAAAATAATTTATACAAACAGCCTTTTCATTCGTTTTCGCGTTTAAATTAATCAGTTGGCTGACATTTCATTGGCTAATCTTAGTTTAAACCAGCCAGCTCGGGCGTTTAAACTTTGTTTAACCACAGCCGTGCACTGAAAAACTGGCCCTAAGTCGCACAATTAAATTGTTTGTTAAGTAAATTAGATTTGACTACACATATTTAATGCATTTTCGCTTAATCTATTTCTCTTTTTCGTTTTGATGTCAGTAACCAGTGAACTATTTACTGCCCGTTTATTAACGACCACCTCCCAAACATTTGCCATGGGCAAGTTCTACTATTTGCATTATCAAAGAATAGAATCACTCAAAATACTTTTCAGAATCTAGAAACTAAAAACATTTGAAAAAAGAGTGAATGGTTGGAATTTTTTCTAATGTTTTAAAAATACACAACTTCTCGAATTCCCCACACGTTTTCTAACTTCTATCACTTTATTTTTCCCAAATAACTTTCTGTATAACTCATAAACTTGCTGTTACAAATTTAAAGTGAATGAAGTTCCGCTATTAGGGTTCACATGAATGGCGTTAATTTACCACAGAGAGCAGCTTTTTCTTATTTATCAATTACAAAATTTTCTTGCTTGGTATGGTAAAAAATCCCGTTTTTTGACAGAAAATCCCATTCGCCCTTTTTAGTCATAAAATCCCGAAAAAAGGGCGAAATCCCGCAAACTGGCAACACTGGTCTGCAGTTACTGACGCACGGCTATACTTAATCCCGACCCTTGCGTCCTCGATCGCGCACTCTGGGCAACGTGAGCAACACATGTGCGAGATGCGGTAACCAATCCCAGTGGAGCCTTGGGTCACGGCAGAAAGAGAGGGAGCTTTGGTGGGGCCACTCCGACTTATTCGGTTTAAGAGCTCACTGAAGTCTGCAGCGTCTGTTCACCAGTAGGTGCGGGTGTCTGCCTTGGAGCAAGCGGCACGCTTTATAAGCGTGTATTCGGTTACGAAACCACCCCCGTCCCAACAATGGGTTGTGCTCTGGGTTTGGGACCCGCCACCTAAGTACAGGCTCCAATGAAAAAGAGATACAAAGCCTCGGATGAGAACCCCCCTTTTAATGACGACCACGGCAATCGATTAAAGGACTACGATTTGAGGGCATGCACCTGGAATGTCCGGACCATTAATGGGGAAGGTGCCTCTGCCCGGCTGGTTGATGTCCTCGTAAGAACGAAAGGTGACATCACCGCCATCCAAGGAATACGTTGGACGGGGCAAGGCAAGCAATGTCTGGAGCCTTGCGACGTATACTACAGCTGTCATGTAAAGGAGCACAAATTCGGTGTTGGATTTGTGGTGGGAGAGAGTCTCCGTCGCCGAGTACTGTCGTTCGCCCCGGTAGACGAGCACCTAGCCATAATCCGCATCAAAGTGGAATTCTTCAACATCTCGCTGATCTGCGCCCATGCCCCGACGGAAGAGAAGGATGAGGTATTGAAGGATCTCTTCTATGAGCACTTGGATCGCACGTATGAGCTCTGCGCCCGCCACGATATCAAAATCGTGCTTGGGTGGGCAAGGAAGGGATTTTTTGAACCACCTTCGGAAGATTCAGTCTCCACGATGAAGCGTCCGACAATGGACTGAGGCTGATCGACTTCGCCGGGGCCCGAAACATTGTAGTATGCAGTACTACCTTCAAACATAAAAGGATCCATCAAGCTACGTGGCTGTCTCCAAATCGAAAAACGAGAAATCAAATCGATAATGTTGTGAGAGATGGAAGGCATGCTTCCAGCGTTTTGCACGTACGTACACTCGGAGGGCCAAACATCCGCCCAAATATGCAAGGAAAGCTTAACGTCGAAAAGCTGCAATCACAGCGAACAGCCAGCGCTTTCGCTACTTGACTCTCACACCTGCTCTTAGAAAGCACTCTTCAACAAACCGACATATGCGAGCAGTGGAACCACATCTCCCGCTCATTAAGTACCGCCGCCGGAGAAGTAGTCGGATTTCAGCGAGCCGGAAAAAAACAACTGGTACGATGAGGAGTGCTAGGAAGCTGCAGAGAAAAAAGATGCCGCCTACATGGCCTACAGAAGAAGAGCCCGATCCCCCAGTCGATGATGACGGAGTCGATGTTCCTCCGCTTGACTATGACGAGGTACGAATAGCAATCATGCCGCTGAAAAACAACAAATCTGCTGGAGCTGATAGCCTGCCAGCTGAGCTATTCAAGTACGGTGGCGAGGAGTTGGTAAGGTGTATGTATCAACTCTTATGCAGAACATGGGTAGATGAACGCATGCCATACGACTGGAATTTAAGTGTGCTCTGCCCAATCCACAAGAAAGGCGATCCCGCCAACCGCGCCAACTACCGCGGGATCAACCTTCTAAGCATAGGTTATAAGGTCTTATCGAGTGTATAGTGCGAAAGACTGAAGCCCACCGTCAACGAACTGATTGGACCTTATCAGTGTGGCTTCAGACCTGGCAAATCCACCATAAACCAGGCATTCACCATACGACAAATCTTGGAAAAGGATCGACACTGACCACCTATTTGTCGACTTTAAAGCCGATTCTACAGCACTAAAAGGATTTGCATATACGCCGCTATGTCTGAATTTGGCATCGCCGCCAAACTCATATGGCTGTGTAAAATGACGTTTAGCAACACCACCAGCTCCGTCAGAATTGGGAAAGACCTCTCCCAGCCGTTCGCCACCAAACGGGGTTTCAGACAGGGCGACTCCCTTTCATGTGATTTCTTTAATCTGATGTTGGAGAAGATAATAAGAGCTACAGAACTGAAGCGCTCAGGAACAATTTACTACAAGAGCGTGCAATTGCTGGCGTACGCCGATGACATCGACATCATCGGTAACAAGAACCGCGAAGTCTGTTCTACCTTTTCCTAGTTAGATAAGGAAGCAAAGGGAATGGGTCTGGTGGTAAACGAAGACAAGACGAAGTATCTCCTGTCATCAAACAAACAGTCAGCACATTCGCGCCTTGACACCCACGTCACTGTTGACAGTTATAATTTCGAGAAAAGAAGAGAATCAACCGTCAAAGTTAACTCCAAATGTTCAATGTGGACGAT